AGAGCTCTTTTTTTTGATGAATTTTATTGGCATATGTATGATCGCTTAGCCTTTATGTTATTTTGTAATGCTTTTTTGTTTAGCGTTTAAAACCGGACATACATTTGCTTAATGTTTTCCTTGTCGATCTCTTTTGCAGATATTAATTAGCTTTAAACATTTTTTTGTTCATTGTTGCCCAATGGTCATTAAGATATGAGTTGGCACTAATAATTGTGATAATTAACAAATAGGAAAAGTATGGGCAAAAATAACCAATCTTTGTAACAAAATAACCAATCTTTTTTTAATCATTATGTCAAACATGATTTTAAATTTAAGAGAAAACTGAATTTCTCAATAATTCAACAAAATATTGCATGAATAATGATTTATCACCAAGTGTAATTTATAGAAAATCTTCCATATCATCATTTTCATCAAAGGATTTAATTTACAATCATACTGCACATTTAATTTTGTGAACCAATCAATCTTTTTCAAATATTGAAAATTTTAAATAAAAAGTAAGGAAAAATCCAAGTAGTATACGGGCATATTTGTTACCCTGTTTTACGAATATATTTTCAACAAATCGATTGGAATCAGTCAATCCATTTAATCATTTTTATTTCTCAAATTGATGGGGATGTCAGCTTCTGTGTATTGTAAAGATAAGTTTATTTGCATATCATTATTATCATCGGTTTTTTTTCAGTTGAATTTCCGTAATACTTCAACATAAATGTGCTTTTTTTGTACATCTTCAGTATATTGCGGTTCTTATATCTGATGTGTTTATTTATCAACTAAATTAATTTATACATAGCTTTGCAAATATATATATATATATGGCTATAAGCTCTTATCTTCAGTGTTTGACTTATCAGATATTAACGATAACAGATAAAGTTGAGGAAGGATGGAACATTCATAATGCTTCACAGAGATGAAATTATGGTAAAAATCTATTATTCTAAAGCGTTCCTATTATTTTATGCAAATATGCATTTCAGTAATTATTATCAGAATATTTTTTTTTTTGCTATTGATACTTGGTATCACTTTTTGCACCAAAGCTAAAAAAAGTAAATTTTTAAGCATGCTTTCCTCCGCAACTTAGAAAAATATGTAAATTATAGCGTTAAAGATAACAAGTAACTAATTTTATTATAATAAGCTTCAAACAATTTCAATATTGGTGTATTAAATTTGCATAAATCGATGGGTCACTTTCTTCTTCCAGTCATTTTTCTGAATAATTAAATTTTTTCCTCGAATTCTTTTTCAATATAGCAATTTATTCTTTTAACACTGAAAATGATGAAAGGAGTAACGCGATTTAGCTCACTGATGCAACATGTTCAATATATAGTATTCATCAGTTTCGATATATAAGCGCAAATTGGCAACATTTGATGTATTGCATTGCTAGCGATAGTTTGAAAATGATGTGTATTGAAATGAAATGATTATTTCATAAACATTTTGATCATCGCATCTCAAATGATAATAGCAAATATTGATGATATGTTGGAATAAAGATGATCTGTTGAATGTATGGTGAAGCATTAATCCTCAATGTGAGAAAATTCATCAAATTTTAGAGCATTTTAACGATTGATTAACAAGCAGTAATTTCATCAATATATTTGAAAAATTCTGTGAATAAAAAGGCAAAAATTTCCATTTTATCATACTAAATGAATAAGATTAATCACTTGTATTGATCAATGGATATAAGTCCATCAATTTTAGTGATCTATTTAGAACGAAAGAAGAAAAAGTAGCTGTGGTAAAATTAGATGTATTTGTTGTTAGCAAACGCTGAACAATTATCTGTCGATTCAATCCTTCCTTTCTCTTTTTTTTTCTTTCATTTTATTCCCTCAGCTATCACGTCTCTCATCTTTTTCCATCTCAATTTAATCGATTTATGCAAGAAAATTTTCAACAATAATATAGTCAATAATTAATCGTTTGCATCATTTCTAGAAAAAAAAATTCACTCATTCATCAAAAATTAAGATAACAATTTAAATATGAAACAATTATAGAGGTAATTTCAAACAGAGAAAAAAGGCTGTAATTAATTTCAGTAAAATCATTTAAACATCTCAAATCTCAATAATTGTCATTTAATCATCCATCAACAACTGACTATACATATATATACATATACACGAGTTAATCGTACCAGTTCGAGCATTGTACCAACTAACCAAATCATCATTATACATCATCAACAACATCTTAAAATATGCCCGAAACAATCACCAATAATACCATCCTCATAGAACTCCTCAATCAATATCAATGTTGATATTATTAGTAGCCTGGATGTTTAACCCTGATGTCTTTCACACTGATTTTGTGTTCAATCTCGAATATTTTCCCTGCCCTTCAATGATTAACCATTCATTCAGCCAATCCTCTTCCCATATTTCATTCTATTACGCTCTCTCCCTCTCTCTCCCTCTGTCTTTCTTTCCCCATCACTACAAAATACTCCACAAAACTATCAGCACATCATCATATTCTAATCATTATTATCATCTAACCATTGATCAGCTAATTTTTTCCATTAAATGAATCGTTACCAAAATTTTTTCCCATCATTACTTTATTTCTTTAAAGCTCCCTCGTAAATTCGTACTTCCTTCCGTTAGAAATTTCTCTGTTTACGGCAAAATTATCGAAAGCATTATGGAACTTTCTTTTCTTCCTTTTCCTCGTCATCATTCTCTTTTCTTCTCACTCTCTTTTTCCCTCCTCTCCTCCTACATTCTTTCCCTCTCTTCTTACCGGAATCATTATCAAACCGAAATCATTGATAGACGACGAACTGACTGCCATGAAATTGCACAGAGAATGCGAGACATCGAGACTGAAAATACATCCTCACTCCACCACCACCTCCTCCTTTTTCACCGCCTGTTCGTCCGTTCAAATTGCAATATTGTACCAAATCCATTCCACATTACTGCCAATTACTGTGTGTGTATGTGTACGTGTATGTGTGTGTATGTGTATGTGTATGTGTGTATGTGTATGTGTGTATGTGTGTATGTGTATGTGTGTGTATGTGTATATACGTATTCAATTCACCTTCTCCTCCTCCTTTTCCTCTTCTCTTCGTCCTCCATAAATTTCGAAATCCTTTTTCAATTTTTCGTTTCGAAATCAGCTATCATCTCACTCTTATTCAAGCACTTTCGATTTAAGCAGACAACAACGAACAGAAAGCGTCACTTCAATATTATCATTTCATTTTATTCCGTTTCATAGCTAACAATACGGTCTTCTGATGGCTAAAATTAAAAAGTTGTTAGCAATTGTACCATTCCAAATGGAATCCATTAGAAAGACAAAATCGGAACAACAGGAATGTTAAATAAGATAAAATTTCGCATTTTTAGATGTTACATTACAACATTATTATTTCCTAATGTATCCAAATTAGAAGGTCATCTACTTGCTGGGTAATTTTAAAGTTTTGGATAAGTTTAATCTAAGATTTGGATTAGAGCTGAATTGGTCTACGATAATGATTGAATCGAAATTATTCTAATTTAAGGTATAAACTTGGAAGAAAGGATGAAATTACAACATAACAGAAATCATATAAAGTGCAAAAATTAGGTAATGTAAGGAAGAGTGAGAGAAGGTGGCAGATTTTCATAATTGTTTAAAATGTTAGCTAATCTCATGTAAAGATACAAAATATATTTGGAAAATTGTGATAGGGATGATGATATGAAGTGTAGAATGGATTGAGAAATAGCAAACTGAAGAGGTAGGAAAAGGAAAAAAGATTAAGTTGACAATTAACTTAAGCAATTTAGTTTACTTGCCATTTCGTATTTATATATATGTTTTTAAGCAATATAAGAAAAGTATTAGAAAAGAGTGCAAGTGGTACGAGGGGTCTCGTGTCATCATCCATCATTCTGTTGTTGAAATACCAAGTCAAATGTCAACTTTCAGCGCTAAGGAACTTATAGCACAGATTTGGATTGGTGGTAAAGATGATATCCCTATTACTAGTCGCTATTATCACTGCCCAGCCTGATTTCTCCTATTATCATCATTATCATTTCCCAGTCTGATTTCACTTTCTTCAGAACTTCCAAGCTGTCAATTTCACATTCTTTCTATTTCAATATCAATAGATTCACAACTGTTGGAGCAGTAAGCATCTGTGCTAGATGTGCTGGGCAAGCGTTTGATAAAAGGGAAGAAGCTAGCTACATGAGAGGAGTAATGATTAGAGGCATTGTAGTGCAGGAGGGATTTAGACAGTTCGAGAATGATATCTTGTCTGGAGAGACGGTGATGAAGAATGGGGCATATCTGTCGGGAGAACTGTTTTCAATGTGGCAGAAAATGAGATATGTCACAAAAGATGTTCTAATTGAGGAGACAATAGAAAGCGATAGGGATGAGAAGCAGCATTATGATTGATTAGAAATATGTAAAGCCATTAAGGCTGACTATGGCAAAGATTTGGCGACACAAATCGATGATTTTCTTTTCATTACATTCAAATTTTGCACGGTACGATGATGCTCGATCCTTTCCTAAACTGCTAACATGTGATAGGTATATGTGTACTGAAGATGAAATGGTTTCTTTTTGTTTGTTATGCTATTATTGCTCAATTAAAATTTGGGATAAAATTGTTGTAATAATAATAGGGAAGCTAATGTATGATTTTTCGATAGTTAATTAAACTGGTAAATTTAGTGAAGTAATTCGTTCAGTTACTTCATTTCATTATCCTTATTGTGGAAACGTTTTTTTTTTCTCTGTAGCAACAAAGTCATATTAAAAAGTAATCTGTGAGTTGGATATTCACGTGTTATTTGTTTCGCTGATTTAATTTCAATACCAGATAACAGTTTGTTTTGCAGGATAAGTTTATTCAAGAGGAGTGTACTACAGAAGTAACTCTAGTTGAAGTGCAATGTATCACAGTGCAATACCGGAAATCTATGAAATAAATTAAGGAAGAGGCAAATATGACATCCACTTTAGACGACCAACAGGAGCGCCACTATATTGGTAATCTTCTATGTGAAGAGGATGTTTTCGGACAGACAAATAATCGCACAGTCGGTATGTATTTATTGATTTACTGTTATTAAAAAGAGATTTACCGAAAATGTTAATTTTATATCGTGGAATTTCTGTATTGTATTTACTTTTATGAGTCTTTTCTTTCCTCAACAGTTCTACAAATTTTTTCTGGGAGTATAAAAGAAATATAAGAAAAAATCAGTATCTCGAATTGCAGACACTATACTACTATAGCATAGTGGAATGTCAAATAGAATCTAACATTTAACCATGGTATCATTTATACCTTTTCAAAAAAATTAGGTTCCTTAATTATAACTACAGTTTCAAGATGTTATCATTGATCTGCTTGTTTCTGAATATTGGAATTTTCAGAGACAAATGGAAGCGGTAGTATACCATCCGGTAATGTCTTACCAAGTTCAGGTCCAATTGGTCCAACCCCAAACCGTACGTTTTGGCCAGAACCACCACCACCATATAGTCCATGCTCCATTGCCCCGCCACATTGGGCATCAGTTGGTCGTCAAGTTCCAGGACTAATGGCTCCACCACCACCAGTTGCCGTACCTTATGGACAAACACCTACTGCAACAGCTGTGACGCGTACCGATTTTTATCAGTCGTCTTTTGGAGGGGTTTTTTTTTCACCTATTTCGAAATCGCTAATTTTTGAAACTTTTGAATTTTTTTACATGAAACTGATTCAACTTTAGGATAAAGTTGAATCAGTTTCGTGTAAAAAAAATTTTTTTTTTTTTGAAAACATGCTACATAAAATGAACTTTATTGCAAAGCTGATCTTATGTAGCATGTTTTCAAATGGATTTTTTGTTGTTTTTTAAGGTGTAAACATTCTCGTTTTTTAAGCACGATGAATGGGATAATGTGCCGAGTGCAACCATGGATGCGTACATGTCAACTGGAATACCGTACTCCTCTCATCGGACGGTATCGATATTATAAACTTTTTACTCCTTAGGCACTGTTTCAAGATGTAATATGCAGTTTGCTTCCCATTTACGAATCTCGCTTGAAATTTATCTAAATTTTACGATGATAGCGTCGATCTTCCCATTTTATCGGTTTGCTCTCAGTTATAAACCAATGTGAGGATTAAAGTCAAAGCTTTTTTCAGGTTTTGAAATCGCTTATGGCACCCAACAGTACCTTAAATACAATGCAACAACATCATTATCAAAACATGTATCGTCACCACCAACATCATCTTGGGAGTTCCCCAGTCGATCCACCAATTTTTGCAACTCCTCCACCACGTGTTTATTCTAGTGGTGAAAGTGGCCTAGTGCATATTGATTCATACTTACCGCAGCATCTGCCACCTAAGGGAATTAAGAAGACGACAAGTAGTCCAATTCAAGTGCAAGTTCTTCATTTATATTCTTAGAATATTATTTTAATTCCTGTAACAATAACTTCCATGTTAAATCCTTCCCACTGCAAAAAAGTTTTTCGGTAACTTTGGGTGTGATCCTAATAGCAAGTAAGAGGAAATATAATGCCACAAATTATATTATTCTTCATCAAAAGATTTTTATATTGCATATGAATCCATGAAGTTCATCTTCCCTTTTTGTTTCAATCATATTGTATTTTCCCAAATTGAAAAATACATATTTTAGTGAAGATGTTTCTCCAAACGTGTTTGCGCCGGAAGTAGCCAAAGATGCGGTTCTACCATTAAGTAAAAGTTACCGAGATGCAGCTTCTAAGAAAGAACATGTCATGTCAAGTTCATCTCTTTCCTCTTTATTATCAAATCCACCAGCGCCTGTTTATCGTACTTCATCCACTGTTTCAGGTATCAGGATAATTTTAATATCGTTTAAATAACTTTAAAAAATGACATTACAATTCATGACGTAGTGTACGAAGCGGTTGAATACAAGCATATAATTATATTTTCATTATTGTGCAGTGAACAGATAAAGATTGTAGAATGTCGGAAAATATTGACCAATGTTCAAAGAATAAATCAAATACAGTCTTTTTACTTGATGAATTAAGTTAGAATGCTTCATTGTATATTAAATTGCATAATTAATTTAGGAGGGAAAGATAGTGATAATCAAACTTCAAAAGATGTAACATCAACACATCGTATCAATAGTAATCGCCAATCGATTAATGAAACTTCTATCGTGCCGGTATCTTGCACCGTGAATGATGCTTACACCGAGCAGAGTGAAGGAACTATCCGTTTCAAAAGCAATGTTGCGGCAAAGAAAAGTATAATCATTTTTAATAAGAGAAATTAGATGTTTCTTCAAGAATAATTTAAATTTATTAGCAGGTTGTGGCAATGGAAAGAAAAAAGCTGATTATGAATTCCAGAAAATTATTCATAAGAAAAACAAAGGTATCAAAAGCAACAAAAATGATCAAATGATCACTGATGAAAATGGTGAGCTCTTCAGGATCGCAGGATATTATGCATTACAATCTTTGACATTAATTTATTATTAATAATTTTTTGTTAAATAATTTAGTTTAGTGCGAAGCCTCATTTCAAATTTCATTGCACTGTGATTTGTATCCCAAAAATAAAATAAATTTTTTTTTTTTTGAATAATAAATTGGACATTAGACGAAGTAGTCTAATATAAATCCCCATCTGAAGACTTCATTTACCGCTGTTTAAATAAAAATTTGTTTCTAAATTATTTTAAAAAGTCATCTATGGTTCTGAGGTGACTATATGACAAAAGATCAAATATATCAGCCACTACGTGTCATTATAGGACTGACAGGCAATCAAGCTGTAGATGCTTCCAGTCGTTTTGATGTTTTACAATCGCTTGGAACGCAGATGACAAATACAGTCCTACGTCGTGTCACGCGTCGATCACTGTCCTCAGTGGTTGTCCATCATGAACCATCAATAGATGTAGCAGCATCGAAACCAAAAATTAGTGACATTTTATTTGGTATGTTTTTTTGCATTGTTATTTCCATTACTGAAAAAATTAATTATCAAAAATTGTTTTTCATTACATGATCGTTTTTCGGCTTCACGGGTAAAATTGGTGATGACACATATTTTTTTATCTGCCGAAGTAATTGATAAAAACTGGAGTAACAATCAGCAAGGTTTTTCTTGACAATATGAATTGCGGATCAGGTTTTAATTTTATTTCCAGTGGTTGAAATTCAAAATAATAAATCATTGATGTTTTGATTGAGCATCGTTATTACGAGCTAGTTTTCGTTTCTTTATCGAAAAATTTTATACTTAAACAGTTTTTGACAGGGGTATCAGTGAAAGAATAATTTAGGTCATATTACATTTATCCATATACTTAATATTTATTTGCAGAAAGCACTGAAAAAGCTGGTGGAGACGGTAGCACACTAACTGAGAATAAAATCAGGGATTTTAATCAGAATGAAATTAAGCCTTCAAGCTTCTCTTCAACACAACGTAATTGTAGGTTATTTTATTTTTGTTTCAAGAGTTTTTTATTTTTTTTTCTTTTTCGTAATTCTGCGTAATGTCTGTTGACTGATTTCTTTAATTGTATTTATCGAAATTCTTCTTACAATTTATCGTGATTGTATTCTAAATATGAATATCATCGTTTACGGAAAATTTGATGTTCTAGATTCTTCGAAAACGGCTTTGTACAGATTGTATGAAGTCATCATTGATTATAGGCATTCTTCCATATTTTAGAAATTTATCCGTGATCCATATCATTGCACCTATTGTAGCTAAATTCATTAAAGAGTTGTAATTTTGACATATACAAAATCGTCTTATAAGATAAATTGCAGGTAGTAAATCTTTAAGCTATTCTGCAGGGTGCATATATTTTGTTTACTTCGTATGAAAAGATTTAAATGATGAATTTTTTCACAGTATTCAAAAAAATGATTGGTGCTCGCCGTGAGCTGAGCGCGCAAGCATCGACTGATTCTGCGAGATGCAGCCGAAAACATCGTAATTCTATTAAGAAACGTCAAAGTAGCGTAGCAGACTACCTAAGTATGTTTTAAATTTTGTTACTTATATCTGTCTCGCATTTTTGATTTTTGGTACTGTGTCATACTTACTGACTCTTTGTTACTCTATAATTTGCAGAGTTTATGCACAATATTTTAGATATTACGGTGGCACTTATGTTTTCTGTCATTAAGCATGCTGTTCAGTGGATTATGAATCTTTTGTGGGATATATCGTTGCAACTATGGGACATCACCCTATATATGTACGTAATAATTTATTAATAAAAATCTTCATTGTGATTTCTCGAATATTTGATCTCACTATTATGCAGTGCTTCAATTTCTTTATGATTCAAAGAGATTAACAAAATGGATGGATCACAATCCAGAAACCTTTTATGAAGAGATTGTGAATTTAGAATTTATGGCAGTTTATGACTGAAAAATTTTTTTAACTGAATATATTTAAAAGAACTGAAGTTGCTTAACTGTGATTAATTTGCTGCTCGGTTGAAAACACAAAGAATACGCGTCTCGCGGAGGAAAGAAGGGTGCAGGGAGAGATGCAAGAAATGAATGAAAAGCAATTTCAGTCATTTGAAAAATTACACTTATCTGTTAACGTTTTTCTGGTTAATTTTTTTATAAATTTGCACTAACTTAAAATTTATCTTCAAGAATTGTGGCTGGTTACACCAGTATTGTTTTCAACTGCCAACGATGCTGGTATTCTACATTAGATGCACAGAGGTAATTTTTAAACATACTTTTATTGTTTTTAACTATTTTGTTCATTCCTTCGCCTTAATTACCAGTGACATGTTGCCCATGAATTGACAGAGGACTGGTACGAGGTGAGTAACCCATAACAAATAATGCAAAGACATAGAATCTTTTAAATAAATGGTTAGGTACTGTACGCGTTTAAATTTTAATGCAAGTTTATAAATTTAAAGTTCTTATGGGTTCTGTGCAAATTTATATTATTTGATTTTTTAAACAGAAAATGCTGGGAAAATATTCGATTGTTCAATATAAAAAGAGTATGGACAAATCAGAAAAAGGTTGTTGAATGGGGTATGAATGAAAATATTCAATTGCCGATAACAGGTGAACTTTTGACCGTAGTTTTTGTTTTCTAGTCAAATCACGATTACTTTCGAACAGTTGTGATTTTCATGTGCTTTTAATATCTCCTTAATTTTTTATGCCTTATTTTGACCACATGGCTTGGATCTTACTTTAATCTTAAAACAAAAGGATACCGATTTTTTATGTTGTCTTGGAATAGATGGAAGGTTTTTTCTGATTCTTTTTGTTTTTTCTGTTTGCATATTTAATAATCAGTTTAAGGCGAAGAAGCAATGGAACGAATTTTGAAATGTCGCGGACGTGATGCGTATATGATACTGGGTTTAAGAGCTGACTGTAAGGATGATGATATTAAGCGGTATTATAAAAAACAAGCTGTTCTCGTGCATCCTGATAAGGTTTCATTTTTCATTTTCATATTTTATCTCATAGAAATATGTCAAATACTTTTACAAATTCACTGTAATACGCATTTGTAAAACTTCTTTCCTATATTAGAAATCAGTTGATGATAATTTTGCAGAACCGATTAAGTGGAGCAGATGAAGCTTTCAAAATTCTTTCGAAGGCTTTTGATGCGATTGGTACACCTGATGTTCGAAATAAATATAATATTGCCAATTTACATAAAAATCCACTGGTAAAGATGTATTATTGTTTTGGAATCATGTGCTGTGATATTTCTTCTTTATGAGTAAGAGAACGATCTTCTGCTGATTGTTTCTCAGTAGCTTTATCCATGTAAAAATTAACTTTTCTAAGCGCACGTTTGACTTGAGTAGAGGAAGAAAAGAGTTTATCTTAGATTATCATTGGTTTTGAGAACACAAGAAAGTTTTTATCATCATAAATTAGGCACCATAAAACTATATTTTCTATAAATAAAATTTTAAAATTGTTACTAGGCTTGCAAGTTAGAACGTCGTATTCCATTCTTAAAATTAATTTTCAAGATTTTCTATCTTTTGCAGCACAAGGAAATGGACGAATTATGGGAGCGCTTGCGCGAAAAGATGAACGCAGCACGGAATGCGATGTGCTGCGATTGTGGTAATACGCATACACGTATACCAGTAGAAAGTATTCGAGCTTCAGAAGCCCGTTACTGTAAGAAGTGCAAACTTCGTCATCCCGCTAAACATGTATGGTCTTCTCTATCTCTTCATTAATAATATATCTCAAACAAACAATTGAAAGGTAACTTCAAATAGTTTTGATGGTTAGCATTGCGAACCTTTTCTAAGCATATCATGAGTAGAATGCATTCAGCAAAAAAATAATATAACTTTCTTTATGATCGAGCAATTCTGATTATTAATATTCATTTGCTTCTGAGATATGTTATAACGATTATTCTCATAGACTATTATATATTTAAGAATGATATTTGGGCAGAAACTCGTTTCGGTGGCTTTATCTGGATCTATTATGCATGTTTGGATGGTGTTGTCTATGATATCACGCAGTGGGCTACTTGTTCGGTGCTAATTTTTTTTTCGTTTGTTTAGTTTATTTATAGCATAAAATATCAAACAAATGGAGAAATTTTGACCCAAAAAATTTTCAAAAGATTTGAATAAACTAATTTGGCTCAATAATTGTTCTGTAATAGTTCGTCACGATAAGAGTGGAATAGAGAATCTAGTTTGCAAAACGAAAGGGTTTGAAATAACCATGATTTTTATTTATTGCTGTGATGATCGGACGGTACTGATTTTAATAATTGTAAATAGCTCATTATATGATATTCTTTTCAGAGTAATCACTTGAAGCATATGAAAGCCAACAGTCATATGGTGCAATATCGTTTAGTGACAACAACCGGACCATCAATGAACAAAAATCCGTTGAAACAGGCTAAAAATGGGTATATTTCTTTCAAGTAATTTTCAGACTTAATGCTTCTGCGATGAAAGAAGATAGCAGATTTCCTCAGAATTCAATGATGACAAGATATAAGTATTTTGTACGCTTTTGAGGAGAATTAGAAACACAACACTGCATGTTAGTTGTCTGAATTAAGGATGAAAGACTAGTGTCTCGAATGGAGAGAAATCTTTAAATGATAAATCAAAAGTAAGATAGCTACTGTTCACTGCTTATTATGTTATGAAATGAAGTTGGAAAAAAGCAGCTTGTCGCACTTTAGTAACACGAAAATTGTGGCATCTTGATGATTAATTTACTTTTTCTTTCACTTCTTGTTTCTATTAGCTAGAAAGAGAATTTCCTTCAATTGCAGACAAGAAAGGCATGAGTACAATGATTTGTGCTGTTATAATCGGGGAGGACTGGACGATGGTGGATGTACTTGTTCGGTATCGCTTGGTTACGGTGCTCCAGCTACAGCATCACAACAAGCATCCTATCGTCCACCGGACAGGAACCCATTAAACGTTGATCGACCGCGTCGTGCTGGGAGACGTCGAAGGCAGCGCTGAAACGAATAATCACTAAACTCAGAAATTCAGTTTTTGAAAATTACATTACTTTACATTCAGTTCTCCTTACATCTTTTTCTTTGCGATTATGCATTTTATTTCCTTTAAAATTAATTTCATAAATTTGTCATAGTAACGCAATGAATCTTACAGATCTCAAGCTTGTTACTTATAAGATCTTCGAAAAGCAATAAATGAAGCCAGGAAAGGTTCTTAATCCATAGCTTGAGGCAGATTTCGTTTCGCAAATACTTTTAAAGATTTCAGATTGCACGGAAACATTTTAGAAACCTTTGACAATAATAATTAGCGAAGCTATCTGATGTTCTATGGAGTCTTTTCAAGAACATTTAGTACAGAGTTTAATTGATGTTCTATCTTCTTTTGGCTTGAACTATCATTTGTATAGATTGAAGCCAAGCATTACCTTACATCATATATCTTTTTGAAGTGTTTGCGAAATGTATTAATAATTTACAAGTTTCTAACATACTTTAAAATTTAGCAAAGCCTGAGCAAAATATAAAAATTGTGGGGAAATCGTTGCAAATGGTAATTATTTTGAAAGATTTTATTCGATCACTTCTGCAAATGCCTTTGTTTTCTCTGTGCTAACTTCAAAAAATCAACCTTTTTGTTGTGTTGTTCAATATTTCTGAATAAAACTAATCTTTCACACACCGATGATTATATACCAGCCGTAAACCAAACTTTCTGAAAGGGAGTTAAAATACCGGACAATCGGAGCATTCTCTCTTATTTATTCATTTAGTTCATTAATTGATCAAAAGGTATTCCGCTTTCAATGTCTCAGAAGTGGAGATGTTTCAAGTTTATTTATAAACCACGAGAAATTTAGTTTAGATGGGCTATTATTGGAATACATCGGAAATGTGAAGTGGTATTTATCTGTTCGGAATTTGAAGCAATGAATGAATCTTTGAGACTATAAAACACTAGAAAACTGATTTATTATTAGATACAAATATCATGCAATATTTGCATAGTATTCGAGATATAATATTATGCAACAGATTTAGGATGTACGTTGTATTTAGAACATAAATGATGTGGTGCGAAGAAATATTTCAAATGAAAAAATAACCAGGTTTTTGAGCTATTAATTTGAATCATTGTAACAGTTATTTATACAGTTATAAGTAACTGTTACAATGATCCAAATTAAAAAAATTACATAAATATTCAACAATATAGACAAATATGGAATTACAGTTCAGATATCCTAATCTCCTGTCCGTAAAATTCTGCCTGTGAAAAAATGATTATGATTTCATTATTAATTATAAAAGATGATTTGTTAAAACTGAGGTAAAAGTGATAAATAAAGATAAAAAAATTTCTCTTACCGAATTTTTTGAGAGCTAAGAAGGAATAAGAAAGCAAAGCATAAAAAATGTGAACATTTCCAGGCGAAATATTATAACTATTTTTTAACTATTTTTTTTGAATAACTATTTTTTCATACAAAAATAGTTATTCAAATAAAACACTTCAAAAAAGAAGCATTTGATTTGGATTATCGATATGAAACCATTACGTGAGTTCAAAATTCAAACTTTTTTGAAAAATTTTTTTTAAACAATATTGAGTTGTCGTCATATTATTCAAAAAACCTACTTTCAATAACTATTTAAATTAACGGATCGAATTCCAATAAATACAGTCCTTATGATAGGATGAGACCAATGGGTACGATGAAATGATCTTTGATAATTATGGTGAATTACAATCTTGATAAACATACATAAACTACATGGGTGATGTCGCATCTCGTACTGTTGGCACAACTTGGCAATTTGATCGACAATGACAAAAATAATGCTGTCCAGGCTGAGTAAGCTGAAAAATGTGATATTGCTTTCGTAAGAAAATTCTAGCATAATTATGAAAATAAGCTAAATAGCGCGTAAATGCATTACCATCAACTATGCTATCATATATGTCACAGTGTGAGGTAATTGTTCCGGTGATATTAAATGCTAAGACTGTAGGAGAAGATATCTTTTAAAAAGCGAGCTTGAATCTAATTATATCATTATATTCGAATGAAATCTTTTCAACCAAATGGAATATCAGCAAATGATTGTACAATAAGCGATCATTTATCTGTAAGTTGGAGTGGTAAAATAAGAATGTTAAGAGCCAAAAAGAAATTTGTGTTAAAAAATTGAAATTTGAAGCGAAAAAAAAAAACATCTAAGAAACCGAACGATATCAATAAGAACTATTGCAAAACAGTAGAAAATAAAATGAAGAGGTGATACTCAAAATGACAGCATATGACGCTATGCAAAGAAGCATATCTCAACCGAAGTTAATTATCACATCTAACTTATCATTATTGACAAAGCGCTTCATAATTAAAAGTTACATGTTTGGTTGTTCTTCTTTCTTTTTTTGTTTTTTTTCGAATATTGTAAAAATTAGCAGATGAAAAGTACACAAGCATTGAAATGCTAAAATTGATTCATTACTTCATCTATTATAATATATGGTAAGATGTATCATCATCAAGTATCATGGTGTATCATTAAGATATATCATCGATTCGTCGATCAGTGGATTAATTTTCATCCAAATAACCTACATCATACCTTGTTACTCACGATATTCCGATTGGACAGTTGTAGAAACTAACGTAAATGTGGAATTTTTCGGGTTTCTTTGTATGCATAAATAGCACCATTGTGTCGCAAGCATGAATATTAAGATTTTCGGCTAATTCAGATTAACAGGGTGAAGAAGTGAATTTTCAACAAAAATTAGATTACTATCAGATAGAAATGCTATGGAAATGTCAGTTAAAATAGAAAATAAATAAAAAAAAATTTCTTCTAAAAATCAATAATTTTATTTTTCATCATCAAATATTAATGTTATCTCATTAGAGTAAAAATTTCATGTTCTTAATATCAAACAGTAAAATACTTTAAAGTAGAAATGGTGTTTTTGGGTTTGGTATCATTTCTTTTTAGTCATTAAAAGATGGAATCTAATTTTACAATCAATCACTGAACAAGTAATGAAATTTCTTTCCTGCATTTGCTTTTTGTTTCTCAAGATGATGATGATTTAGTAGCTGCTCACGAGTGGGAAAAATATTTGATAGGTTATCAAAGTAAGGTTCAGTAAACTGTGAACATTTAACAAATTTTGAAAACTTGAAAAATTTTTTAGTAAAAATCGAGAATTCAAACAAACAAAGCACTACAATGATCAAGTTCTCGCACATTGAATGTCCTTATTTTTTTAACACGAGATTAAGACGAGTAAAGAAAAATGAAATATTAAATCAAGAAGTTGATCGGAAAATATGGAATAAAAGCTGATTTAAAAAAGAAATTTTAAAAATAGGCATTATTTTGATCATTTTGTAATAATTCGAAGAAATAATTAATGCTTAAAAATTGATCCATCAAATAATTTTCAGTATTTCTTCAAAATGTTAAAGGAAGCAATTCAGGATAGGAGAAAAGCAGCGTCTTACAGAGATAGCAATGCCTCACGCAAAGTATATGCGAAAGCATAAGCATGCAAATTATTGTCGAAAGGTAATTAAAATTTAGGAATATTATCAATTCGCACCTTTTGAAATATTTATTGATAAGCGTCTGTTGTCGTACTCATTGTAATAGTATTTTCTGATAGATTCTGGAAGATTTCTTCTGCTTTTTCTCTTTTTTTTGGCTTTTTTGAAAAAAATTATTGTAAATTTCATATAAAATGTATAATTGTTCCTTTTTTTTGCTCAAACTTTGTGAATAGAAAAAAATTTTTGATGAAATTCTGATTTTTTGATTTGTATAGTAATTTAAACAAATAACTGGTTCATTCACTTTTGTCTTAATTTAGCTCTTTTCGTCTTTTTGATTTAAGGTATACGAATTATGGTTTCGGATTTGAAACATTCAGCATAGAATGTGATGGAATTTATAAGTTTAAGATTTCAATTTAATGCTAGGTTTCATCTCAATATATACAAATCATGCGTGATAATTGTGGTAGCATTTTCTACTAGTGAAAAAAAAACCAGTGATTTTTCAAATAAATTTGTGAAATTTCAAAATGAAAACATGCTTACTTCTTTCAGATCATATTTTCTGTTGTACGTTGTAAGATATTCGATAATAAGTACTGTAAGAACAATAACTGGAACAAAAGAAAATGCCAGTAAGGCAGTTGATACCCAATGACCTTGAATTGGTCGATTGATTTTTTGGCTCACCGTTATACCTGTATTTTCCCAAATATCATATACAGGACGACAGCCATATGAATTTTTTTGAAAATGATCCTGTAAAATTTCAAGATTTTGATGCACAAACTGTTTATCAGTACTTCTCTTTTCATTATTTATTTACTTTCCTTTATTTATTCGATATATCATTAATGTGCTGTTATTTCGATACCGATCATTTTGCATATTTATTTAATTTTTTGTTTATTAATCTTTCTTTACATTAATTAAATCAAATTTATTTTTTTGCTTGTTTGCCTCACAAATTTATTATCCAATCTGTCAAGTTTCTTTTTCTTTTTCTTAACTTAAACAAAAATATTGAATTGTATGATTAATTAACTTACAATACTGCCATGAATATATTCCCTGATTTCAGCAATTGTATGGTTTGATTCTTTTATAATTATTTGAACATTTTCATCAATTATTTCACCCGAATACAGGTGCTCTTCAACTATTTGCTTAGTAGTGTTAACGGTATAACTGAAATTAGGAAATTTCATTCATTAAGAAGTAAAAAAGAACATTCGAAGCAAATTTTCTATTATTCTTGTGAAAATTATTCACCAACGAATGAATTAATATCGTTCTATTTTTTCTTTTAAAATTTGCGAATTAGTAAATAATTAAGTAGGAATTAGTAAATAATTAAGTTAAAAATTACTGATTAATCAAAAAACTGCCAAGAGTGATATGAGTAAAATAATC